TGACTATGGAGATGCTGCAACATTCATATGTGTGAAAAAGGATCGTAAGTCGCTTTTCCCAGTGCCTTCGTAACTTTGGTCACTAAATGAACTGTTGTAAGTCAAGGACTGCCTGTCCTGGGTCAGTCCCTTCCATCAGTCCCTTCCTCCTCTCTGCCTTGAAGAGATTCTGCAATGGGAGACGGAATTGGTTTTCAATATCTTCGCACCACTAATGCATTTCTGTTCATGATGTACTTTCCCCTCTTCTATTTTAAGGCAAATGTTCTACGAAGTGACAGCAAAGGTTTTGGTATAAGGCCGGTGTTTTTTTCTTGGAGCTGTAACCGCTGGTGTAATTCTTCAAGAAAAATATCAGGAGAAAATGTATGGGCTTGAAAATGGAGGGGGAATTTGAAAACACTCCCAATGAAGACAAATAATTGAAGTTATAATAAGAGATTTAAAAATTTGGGGTGCTTAACAATGTACAACTATGTAAATATTACTATGAGGATTGCTGGAAACTTGAACCCAGTTCACACTTTGGCCAGAAAATATGTTTTTGGGGTGGATGGGGAGAACAATGGAATTCTTGTATATATATACTGTTAAAAGGAGGACATAGGCAAAGCTATTAATATGGAACATGTTTATTAGAATGCAATTATTAATACCATCAATATTAAATGAAGCTTGCTCGGATGCTGAAATACACCATGCAAACTAAGCAAAAAGAGTGGAAAGGTGGAAGAGAGGGGATAGGAGAGAGGGAAACAGAAGGGAGAGAAAGAGGAAGAGTGGAAAAAGGAGAGAGGAAAAGGAGAGAGGAAGGAGAAGTAAAGAAGAGAGGGATGGTAGAGTGAAAAAATGAGGTCGAGAAGAGGAGAGAGGGAGCGGGTGGAGGAATAATATAGGCTATAATATGGTGTATGGAAAGCAGAAGGGCAAAAGACAGTTGTTGTGGATTGATGGTAAGAGGAATTGCTATAATATTGGATAATACAAAATAGTGATTGTTAAGATGTAATGGTATATTTGGGATTACATGTATGAAAATAAAAATAAAAAAAACTTTTTCAAGAAAAAAGAAAAATATCAGGAGTTGTGGGTGGTGTTTCTCCATGCTTGGAGTGGCAGGGGTGTGTATTTAATGCTGTACTTCTCTAACTTTGGATCTGTAACATTAGGCCTGATGAGGGGCGAACTGTACAATGAAATCTAAGTATAGGTCACATTTGAAATGCAAAGTTTGGTTGCTGGATTGGCATAGCACCAAAGGAATACATTATAAACTTTACAAAAGACAAGGTGCCACTTGTTAAAATTCTTTCAAATGTGTAATTATGGTGCAGGGTGAATAGAATGCTAGAAGGTTGGAAATAAGAACAACTCATTTTTTTTTCAATATTAGGAAAGAGAAAAGGTATAACCGGATTATATAACCCAAATGCAAGAGTGGCTTACTGGGGAATGTTTTGCACAGTTCGAGTCAGTGGTGGGATTCAAAGTGTTTTACTACCGGTTTTGTGGGCGTGGCTTGGTGGACGTGGCAGGGAAGGATACTGTAAAATCCCCATTTCCTCCTGATCAGCTGGGACTCAGAGGGCAGAGAATAGATGGGGCAGGACCAGCCAGAGATGGTATTTGCTGGTTCTCCATACTACTCAAAATTTCCACTACCAATTCTCCAGAACTTGTCAGAACCTGCTGAATACCACCTTTGGTTCAAGTATAGGTAGTTGTCAATTAGGACCGTAATGGAGCCTGCTGATGAAGTCATGTTATAACAGGTTACACACATGGACTTGACAGATTTGATGATCTTTTTGGAAAGGGCTATTAACAAAAAGCTGCAGTCGTTAAGCAAACCAATGGTTCACCATTTATTTATTTATTTATTTGTAAAATTTATTGAAACCCTTTCTCAACAGAGGGGGAGGGACATGACATCAACTTTCAACTTTTCAATTTTAATAAGATTTGTACGCCGCCCACTCCCTTGGGACTCTGGGCGGCTCACAACAAAAGTAAAAACATAAAAATTTTAAAAATACAATTATTAAAATTAATATATCATCCATTCAATCAAGTGCGGCTGGATATTAATCAACAGCCCCAGGCCTGCCGGAACAGCCAGGTCTTGGTCGCTTTACGGAAGGCCGGGAGAGTGGTAAGGGTCCGGATCTCTGCGGGTTTACGGAAGGCCGGGAAAGTGGTAAGGGTCCGGATCTCTGCGGGTTTACGGAAGGTCGGGAGAGTGGTAAGGGTCCGGATCTCTGCGGGTTTACGGAAGGCCGGGAAAGTGGTAAGGGTCCGGATCTCTGCGGGTTTACGGAAGGCCGGGAGAGTGGTAAGGGTCCGGATCTCTGCGGGTTTACGGAAGGCCGGGAGAGTGGTAAGGGTCCGGATCTCTGTGGATTTACGG